ATGCCCTCCCGAAGTGGCTGCAGCACTTCGCGTGGTAGTGACTGTGCAGATCCCGAAGCTGCGGAAAACATGCTTTGGAGTACGGAGGGATACGGATGCACCATTGGCGAAATGGAATGGCAGGGTGGCGCGGTCTAATGTCGTACTACGGTCTGCACCGCGGGCTCGTGAATGAGAGAAGCCAAAATCAAGTTCTGCTCCCGAATCATCTGTAAGGTCATCCAGATGGCTGAGATGTTGGCGGAACGACTGTTCGGTAAGGTAGGCCCTAAAGGACATTTCCGTCGGATTGGTTAGATATGCTGCTCACGGACACATTTTATCGATCATAAATCGAGGCGACGAGGTAGAGATCAGGATGCAGAAGGAAAGAGGAAGTAATTATGGATGAGCACCACGTTTTGAAAACAACTACCAAGGACAACCCACCAAGGATCAGGATGACTGCGACGAAGACGAGGACACAGATGAAGGACCTAAACTGGCCCCGAGCGTGGAGGGAATCATCCCAGAGGTACAACGGAGTCCATGGGGAGAGGAGACTGAGACCAGCGAAAGATAAGCCCATGAGCCAGAAGATGGAGGTCGCGGGCGTTCGTGCTAGCCAAGGCACCTGGTGAGAGTGAGAGGAAGGATTGGATTGTTGTGTTTGATTAATTGCAGACACTGTTGTAATGGAGGGACCGCTTGGTTCCCACAATTACAAAGAACGATGCAGAAGACGATTACCTGATGGTTGAAGGACAGCAGACAGTTTGGGCTATTGAGCTCGTCGTTTCCGACGTCGTTGACGAAGGGAACACTGAGTGTTTCAGGAAGAGAGAAAGCGCCGAGCAATCAAAACGTCTCAAACCGGAGTCGGAAATTTTGTACGTAAAACACCTGTCACTTTTCTCACCACACTCAAGCGACGCCCACAAAGGCTAGTACAGTAATTTGGACCTCTTTTAGGACCGGTTGTACTATCCTTTTGTTAGCATTGGCAGTAACACTCCAGCTTCGAAGACGCCGTGGCCTTACTGGCAGACTGGCAATGGCAGAGAACCAAACTTTGGGTGGTCGAGTCGTGTCTTTGGTGAGGCAGGCGCTGTCACTGAGTGTGTCACAAGACCTGCAGTCAGTTTTGTCGAACCCTCGTCCCTTCATCTGAGACTTGCTTATTATGTGACTCATCTAAGCCCACCGTCGGCTTCTGTTCAGATAATCGATAAAACACGGTTCTGTTGACGTGCAGCAGGTGAAATACATACACAATCGATGGGATCGCCGGATGAATGCCGTTCTCTTTACTCAAACAGGACGACTGGACTTCGCACAGGTCCAACTCATCAGATTGCGATGTTGTCCGCCGTGATCACCTGCCAGTGCAGGTGGAGATATGATATGATCTTTCTCGTATCTGTCATGCAAACTGAAGTTCACTTTTCCTGTGGATATTTAAACAAAGCTTTCGCATCGCGACCTCGTGTTCTCATTGCTCCACTAGCTATGGCCTTTAGTACATACTGGAAGACCTTCTAATCTGCCACATTCGCAGGATCTCGGCCCCCATTTCTCCGCCTTCCCAGTTGAATACCCCCTTATCGTGCCCCACCACTAATTTGACATTCCATCTTATCTTGCGATGACGCCAATTCGCGCGTTGGGAACCAGATTGCCTTACAGTAGTTACGCTACTTCCTTGCGCAACTTCCACGCATCATAAAGTACCATCGGAGTATGTACTTTGGAACGTTCCCCCTGTCACTTGATCGAATGTGAGTGAGAATTTGGCTTCAAAATGACTCTCCCTTGAGGTGCCTGGTGTGGGATGTGCTACAGTCAAGGTTCAGTTTCAGCTTGCAAAAGACCATGAATAACTAAGAGAGTACAGTTAGAATTAGTCTCCCCAAACCAGACCAACAGAGAGGAAGATAGTCGTTCCTCTCTTATAAGTTAGAATACAGTGTGTAGAAACAGTGACCTTATTTGAGCAGATCGTCCTCCCATGTTCTCCCATGTCCCAGAATCGGCCCCGATAAAGTTATGAGTTCCTGACGACTGATTGGTCCCGACAGTACATGCAGCTCCGGTGGATCTAAAAATCGTTCCAGTCTGATTGGCAGTGATTGCGCAAATTGCATCATCCGTCGACGCGTCTCTAAACGAAACCATGACATACATGTAGTAGTACTTTGCGGTAATCGGAACTCGGAACTCGCGCTGTTGCCCCATGCCGCAACTTGAAGGATACAGTACTTCTCGTTTGCTTTTCGCTTCCAGACCTGCGCCTTTTCGAGTCAAGTTGTTAATCTCTTCGCCTTAATTTACTTCGAGAACTTCGAGCCACAATCTCAACTTCTCAAGAGTCAAAATCCATGGCGAATTGGAGCAGAGACCAGTGGGGATCCCAACAGGGGCCTGTCATTAATACCGGAGGTCCCGTTCCGGGGTACTCCCAGCCCTATGCGCACACCGTTAGCCAGCACCAATCCGACCAGTTCAATGGAAACACAAAGAGTCCTTTCGACGACGGACGCTTCCAGCCGAAGAAGCGAGTGAACGACATATTCTTCTTGATATTTTTCATTCTGCAGGTATACTCGTGACTTCTTCCCCCTTCGAATGTGGCTTCCTCAGGCTCCTTAACAGCTCGTGGGATTTGCAGCAGTCTCCGCTATCGTAATCTCGCAGTGGGTAAGGGATGGTGGGTTAGGGGGTGGTCTGGGGAGCGGTGACCAGACTGGTACTTCAGTCACGCTGAATTGGTAGGAACCTGCAGGACATAGTATACATGAATTTTGGACTGATCCAAGGAACTTCCGGCCAGGCACACCGTCTATCTCCTGCTACTTGTCACTGCTGCTGGCCTACTTCTATCCACGGCATATCTGATGCTGGCGCGTGCCTTCACGCAAGCTATAATGCACATCACCCTCATATTGTCCATCCTACTAAATTGGTAAATATTCCTTTCAGGATGACTGTTCCTGCGGGCATTGACATTCTTGCAGTGGTATCTGCGTTTACTTTTGGATTACAGGGTACTATTGTGAGCTTGGTCTCCTCCATGAACATATATCTGGCTAAGTGTTCTCTGTAGCTGGGGCCATCATTTTCACAATCATAGCTCTTTTCTCCGTCTTCGTCTACTTCACATTCCGGTCTCGGATCCCTCTTGCCTCTCTATTGCTGCAGGTTGTGATGGATATATCGAAGCATCATCTCAGCGTCTATTTTGTAGCCTTTTCTGCTTTGCTGCTGCAGGCTGCGTTGAGTGTGTAAGGCATTAGCTTCTATCAATTGACCGAAGCCATCTTGATGTACACCCATTAGATGGTTTACCTTCACTACCATTGCAACGTAAGTCAAAAACCATTCTTGCGTCTCTCACAACTCTGATTTCTTGATAGATATGCCAAGTTCACTCCTGGAAATCCATGTCGGTGTGCAGTTGGCCCCCATATGCTCCCTATTAAATTATTCCTGCAGCATGCGGAACGACGTCATCTTGTTCATCTGGGAAAGTGGCTGGTATCATATTCTATGCTGTTTTTTCCTACCTATGGACCTCACAAGTCATCGGCAATGTCGCGTTGGCGACGCTTGCTGGAGGGCCTTATGGATGTAGGTACCTTTTTTCGCTCCATCCGAGTCGCTCTCATTTTGCCCACAGGTTGGTATTACTTTGGCCCGTCGTGACCAGGGGCAGATGGTGAGCGCTTGCATAGAGGCTTGAGAGCACGGCGTTACCTGACATTCGGAATAGCCAAAACACCCGACTCTCAGTGCCTTTGGCCGCGCGTCGACCTTGTCTCTTGGCTCGATTGCATTTGGTTCCCTGATCGTCACTATACTAGAGCTCATCAGGCTTATACTTAACGCTGCGAGGAATAACGCCAGCGCAGAGGGAAGCCGTATGTCCAAGCAGCCCTTGTGTGTTTGAGGTACTGATCCTTTCCTTCACGCAGCTGTTGAGGCGTGCCTCGCTTGCTGTGCTGAATTGTTCGTTAGCTGCATTGAAGGCCTAGTGAGGTATTTCAATCGGTATGCGTACATCGAGATCGGTATGTCGACTCCTCCATTTAGTCGACATTTGTTCTGACGTTGTGATAGCATTGTATGGGAAGCCATATATACAGGCAGCTAAAGATACTTATAGAATGTTCAAGGACCGAGGTGCTACTTTAACTCGCCCTTCGTTCGTTGCTTGTTGCTCAACGTTTCTCAAGGAATCGACGCACTTGTAAATGATTCCTTGGTAGGAACAAGTAAGGTCCTTTTATTCACTGTTTGACTAGACAATGACACTGTATTTCAACATAGCATTGACATTTGGAGCCTACATCACAGGACTACTCTGCTCTCTGTTTGGATATCTTTATTTGCGGTGTCAGTGACCTCATTTTTCTTTCGTTTTCAACGCGCTCAGACATCCATAGTCACACACCCGGCGTATAATGCCGACGGACAGTACACAGCGCCCGTTGTCCTGTTCGCGTTTTTGATCGGACTTCAATGCTGTGAGGCGACTGGTCTTGTTGTCAATATCTACTGACTCGACGTACTTTTTGTTTCATTTCAGCCCTTACATTGTCTTCTGCTATCGAGGCTGGCGTTTCGACCATGTGAGTTTATGATCGGAAGGGCGATAAACTGATGAGCCGCTAACCTTCGATGTCACGGTAGCTTTGTTGGTCTTGGAGAGGACCCCCAGGTGCTGGCGTGGCGTGCGCCTGCGCTCTTTGCTGTAGGCTCCTCTGTACTGTACCTTTTCCCGACCTACTCTGACATTGTTTTCCCTCAGATGATTGCTCAGAGATATCCACGTGTCGTGGAAGGAGTACCCAGGGTCTGAGTCATGGTCATGGCTCCCGCATACACGAAAATATGGGTTTTACTGGTTTTACTGGTTGTCTCGTTACTAATCGGGTTTTTTTTGAACGTTGGACATCATCTTTAATTGGATACCCTGCCTGATAAGCCCCCCCGAGCTCAGAGTGAACAAAAAAAAAAGACAGTGTCCCAGGGAGGATTCGAACCTCCGGCTTCACGGTTTGGAATCGCCACAACGTGATGATTTAACCACTAATCGACAAGGACTTGATAGGTTTTGTTGACATCTGTTCTACATAACCAATAAATCTGACCGTCATGCCAAATCTGTTAAGATTGGTGGGGGTAGATAACGAGTACTAGTTGCTGCAAGAGTTGCTGTGTGAACAAACCCGTATGGGACACTTCCACTTGGTTAGGTGGGCGGCCAGGGGGTGTGATGTCAAACAAAGTTCGAAAAACGGCCCTGGCCATAGCACTACATATCAAACACGAGTGCCGTTTGACTGCAATATCATTGAATATGATGCATATGCATCTGAGGATCAGTTGGGAGATGCGGCGGCGTGATGCTATGCCCCAGGGTGGGATATATGGCGATTAATGTTCAGAGAGAATCTCATGACCTGGTAGACTTGGCTTGGTCTATCTCCGACACTACGATCCGCCCCGAGCGCCGGATAAGACGTGATGCATTATACGTTTGCTGTGCTTGCAAGTAGCCAAAACAGCTCAAAGGTACTCTGAAAAAGAGCCACGTAGGTTACTATAAGGTTATACTGAGAAGGTTCTTTAAGCGAATTCATGACTACCCACTCACGGGGACATCGATGACGTCGGTGTATGGCGATTTGGAGGCGAGAATTCTGCCAATGGGCGCAAAATGGAACGCGTTGTTACAACCTTGATAAGAGCTTGGGCCAGAACACATACGTTTATGTAAGCGGACAGTGGTACTTGAATGACATGCCTTGCCAACTCAATGACCCTCCTTCGTCTCGTCAACTACCATGAGGAAAACGTCCTACGTCGTCACCTTCTTCGCAGTTCTTCTCATCCTCGTCATTGTAAGCTCTCCTCCCCTTCACCCTTAGACTGTCCTGTTGGCGCTGATACACTGCTGCGTCCAGAACATATTGTCTGCTCGTCTCCCGGATTGGTTCGCCAGAAAAACACTATTTGCCATCACTTAGCAGCCTAACACGTTCCATTTGCATTTGAAGGCTCATCGCAAGATATGACGTCCTCAACGCCAAAATAACGATCCGCTATGGCCTCATGGAGCGCTGTGAGCGCTCCGTTATCGAACTACCTAGCCCCAACAAAGGTCACCTCGAGTACAAGGAGCACGAGTGCCGTCCATTCCCTCTCCGAGTTCAAGACGGATGCGAGGACGAGAACCGGGTATTTTGCGCTGCGTGGGGCTCTGCTCAGTACTTCACTGAGCTCGGCATCGGCTTCGCTGCCATGGCTTTAGTAGCTCTGCTCATCGGAGTCAGCACACACTCAAGACGCCGCAGAGTCTGGAGAGCTGTTGCAGGTCTAGTCTTACTCCACAGTACGCATTTTCTGTTGCGTCTCCCGCGAACTCACAACCAAACAAATCCCCTCCAGCTGCCTTCCAGGTGGTTACGTTCGGCCTTGTTACGGACCTGTACCGCAAGAACAGGTTCCCCGCATTCGAGCATGCCAAACCTGGCAAGTTTCTTTCATTGTGGAAACGCGTTAATTATTCACTTGGTGTTAGGGGCCGGATACGTCCTCAACGCGGTCTCTTGGGTCGTTGGTCTTTTCGTCGGGTTGGGAGTCATCGTGACTGGGATGGCTGCGGACCGCGGTCACAAGTGGGCCGCCGGCAACAGGGCGTATCAGCCCATTCGGGGATGATACTATCGCTTCCTCACTACATATATGATTTCTGCTATACGTCCAGCTTCGTTCGCTTTCCATCTTCAACTGTACCATACGTCTGTGGCCGAACCTATCATGCATGCCGTACATATTCATTAAAACGATCGCACATACCTATTACCCATCTTCTGAACCTTGTTCTACATATTGATGTTATTCGCTCTGCTCCATCTTCCACAACTAGTCCTAGTAGGCCCGGAATTCAAACACGTTTATTCTGAAACAAGACGACGCCTAAACATCATTAATATTGGTGCGACAAACAATCACCGCCCGTCTTCGGGATAATCCACTTTATCATATAACCTCAGTGTCTCGTTCCAGTCTCTCTTTCTCCTCCTCCGCACTGAGAAATACTTCGCCCCACTCTCCCACTTACCCCTGACTCGACCCTTCTCCCGACCCCCAATTTCCAAGAAGTATTTCTCCGGGTTATCCGGCAGGCCAAGCGTCCCCACCGCCAAGTTCATGACACGAGAGTGTAGATCATTGCGCTTTTCGCGCATCTCCTTCAGCGTTGGTTTACCCACCCTAAGCAAACGCAACAGAGCGGTGAACGCCCTGAAAGCCGAGACCGCGTCCTCGAACCACCTCAAGGTCATCCACATAAGGGCGGGGACGAGTACCACTGTTATGCCCGCGAACGGAAGCGTGAGCAGGACGGACGCGCCCAGACGAGTAACCCGGAGAAAAGCCCGTAGACAAGCTTATATTGGGCAATCTCGTCCCACGTATCCCAGATCGGCCCGCTCTTCTTGAAGTTATGCACAGCATAAAACGTCGTGGCGAAGACCGGCGTCCACAGCATGAGGCCGGGAAGGGATATTGTCAACAGACAAAGGGACCAGGTGAGACGGATGGTCATCCTGAAGAGGATGGCGCGTCGGTGCAGCGGTCGTCGAATACGATCGTCTTTGATACCCCAGCGGACAAGCCAATCTTGATAGCTCTGCATAATCTGGTTAATAAGGGCTACGACGTGCTCCTGTGTTTAGCGCACTTCACCTTTAGATCGTGGCGTAGAGTGTTGATCTCAAGGTCATCTTTGATGTGCTCAACAGTTTTTTCAGGTCCAGCAGCGATCTCGTTTGTGGCGCCTTTAGATGCCTTAAACGCTTCCACGAACGTTCGCGTGACGTATACGTAGTCACCTAGACTCATTCTTGTCCCTAACGGAACATATATACTGCAGGCAAGCTTCGCGGAGCGGATCAAATCCCAAGAAGGCGCGTCGATGGTTCGAGAACTAATCAGCTGATGCATCCGTGTCGTCACGTCACGGATGTGGCTGAAGTCTACAGGCGCAAGAAGCTCTGGGTGGTCCTATACGAACGTAAATCAGCACGCGGCCATGCAAGGAGGAGGTCCTGGCATATACCTTTGGGGTGAATGTCATAGGAGGATTGAAAGTTACCAACACGTCAGAGCGGAAATGTTGGCGATGCCTTCCAAATCTCACTTAGTAAATGGTGAAGTCTATGAAGGAAACACTTACATGTATGTGATGGAACAAGTGAGAATCGATATCGAGAAGTCGGGGTTGTCACGATTGCGCGTCAAGACATCTGAAAGCATTCGTGCAACTAAAGGGGGATGGATTAGCGAATGCCACCGACAGTCATGAACCAACCAACCTCCAGTCTTCAAAGGAGCTATAGTGGGATGATACCGGCTCATTCCCTCCGGAAACAGACACACGGCATCACCTGCCTCCAGTGCCTGTGGGGTAAATCAGCAGAATGCTCGATTCAAGATACTGAGGGGGTCCTGACCAGCATCAGATTATCCATCACGTCGGTGTTGTCGACACTGTCGCCTTGAAAGTCCTTACGTCTCTTGATGGGAACAGTGCCGGCGGATTCGATAAGCCAGCTGGTGAATGTCCTACGCCCAAACTGCGTGGATTTAGCGGTGAGCCGCAGCATGTTGCGCGTCTGTCAAAATTGCATGCCCCGGTCGACAAACACATACTCAGTCCAGTCTGTTATGGCTTACACTTGATGGTATAGATGTGACTAGGAGGCTACAGCGAGAAAAAATGTCATAAGCTAAGAGCAACAACACGCATGAGTGAAAGCCAGCGTACAGCGCATCGGTGAGTGAGTTACTGTGGTTTGCACAAACGACGCTAAAATTGGGAGGCAGCTTTTTCAGGCCCACTCCTATGTCTGAATAGCACACAAGAATCAACTCACCAAGGTTGCCCGGTCTTCGGTATGAGCTCGGCATTCTCTACGACTATGGTTCCATAGAATATTTTGAGGACGAACTGGAAAAGAAGTCTATCACGCTGTTGAATGGCAGATGTCACGGAGAGAACCGTGACGAACTACATACCGAACGAGAACGTAGGACCAGGGAGTAGGTGTTCCCTTCGGCATAATGTCGTTACGGGACGTCAAGGTCGTTGTTAGTACATAGGTAGAGTTCCCGGCTTTGCCCCATCGAACGTTCAAGTTTTGACCAACGTGTCTGACGTGACACCTGCCGGATGACGAAATTAATTGGCACCTGTTGTGCAGCCTCAGGCCTCAATATTCAATAATGATGGCTGCGGGCTATGTAACTTACTGTAACAAGTTGGAAAATAGATTGCGTCTGGGTTTCTGAACATTTACTGTACATGTATGTATATTCTAAACTACAGTAGATATGCTCATAATGCATTGAGTATTTGGCGGGTTCCAGGCTAGGCATTATGAGCATATCTACTGTAGTATCATGTTGTCGGCTGACGGATATTGATACCCGGCACGACACCGGAATTGGCGCCTGCGTGCTGGTTCTCGTCTCCCGTCGACCGGTTGCCCAGTTCAATAGCTACGTCTTCCCCTTGCCCACGAAAGATGTACTTGCCAATAGAGAACCATTTCTTCCGTGGGACCTCTCCCACCTCTCCCACGTCCTTTGGTGAAACCTCGCTCCCTGGAAGCACGGGCTGGAGATGGTCAACTTCCCACCACCAGTGGTGCCTGTTCTCCCGAGATGCCCAGATCGACAGTGCCGCAGGGATGCCAAAGAGGAACATGCCTCCGCCAAGGCATGCCCTCAGAATGACGTTGCCAACAGCGTAGCATTCAGCCAAGAACGCAACGAAGAAGAATATCATGCTGAGACAGCGACATCAGGAGGAAACTCCGTAGGTTTCAAATTTGGAGACTCACCCCCACATGAGGTAGGCATAAGGTAGACTGAATATGAGAGCAAGACGCTCGAGACCGTGCTTTGCGTGATAAAAGCGATCCAATAACTTGGCCTGCGGGAAATGATTATTATCAGGATAGTTCGATCAAGTGGAACACCTGGCAACTAACAGTCTTGTCCACGCTATTCGAACGGTCGTGTCGACTACGTTC